AACAATAGCAACTCGGCGGCGGCGACGTGGACGACGATGACGGCGACGACGACTACGACCCAGCCGCCGGATCCGCCGCCTCCTCCCGTCGCCGTCACCGCCGCCGTCACCATCACCACCATCAYAATCACCGCCAAAACCTGCACCGCAGACGAGTCGAAGCGGGTCTTCTGGCCTGCAGCGCCACTACCGGGCTCATACCGCGCGGGGAATACTACCTGCAGTAGGGGTAGTACTGCATAGGCGCACATTCAGTCTTAAACTCGGGAGTGCTAAAATCTTTTACCCCCGCTAAGTGCATGACTTGTGGGAGACTTTGCTATATACGGTTATTACACTTACCGTTTCAAACAAAATCACTACATGAGACTTCATTAAAAGTCTCAAATTAATGAATCTGATTTTCAATTATATATCTTATAACCGATTATTATGATGACTATTATTATAATATTGGTTGACGAACAAGTGTATAGCAAATCGGGGTCGTCTACATTTTCACTACTTTCGTCATTTTTTTATTTTTTATTTTTTATTTTTTATTCAATTTAAATGTACAGGAAATATTGAAACGAGTAACATAATGTGAGTATTATAAAATATTACATTTATTACTACTTAACACCACATTAATAAATTGTTGGTATTTATGTAAAAAAAAAACAGAAATAATGATAAAATAAAATATTTTAACATCAGTGATGTTTTCACTGAATCGAGAGCACTATATTAAAAAACTACTAACTAAGAATTGATGGTTGAAAATTTCTACACTATCGAACTAAACAATAATTTTAGTTAATATCATGATTTTCATATCAATAAATCGTTTAACCATTATTTTCCGGCAGACAGTATACGAGAACAAAATTTTTAAGTAAAAATTAGGGCGTTACCAATATAAACTGTAATTAATTAATTCTAAATGCAAAATTACACTTTAAACAATATTTTTAACTCAAAATAAAATGGGGGTGCTAATAAGCACCACTTGGAACCACCGGATGTGCGCCAAATGGTAATAGAACCACAACCGTCGTTTAGAAACCAATAACTAGGTATAAATATATATTTTGTGTAATCGAGATTTTCGAGAAGAAAAATTTGGTATCGAAGTTCGAKTCTGATGCGGGCCAGTTACGTTTCGCTGGTACATTTCGCAATTTCGCATCATAATGAAAATTCTAGAAAGCTCAGTACCTATTGCAGTCAAAGGTGGGCATTAACTAGGTAATTAAAGTCTTTTTAACTATTGATGACTAGTTAGTATATTTTCTAATCCATTTATGAACTTAACTAGTTAAATTGACAGTTGAGGTAACTTAGCTTTTCTCAGTCTATTACCTATAAGGCTATAACCTAATGAGTTAAAAATATTTCGAAATTTTTCGTTTATATACCTAAATATTAATACAAAATAAAAATAATCTAATATTATAATAACACAAACATTTTTGTTCTTTTTTTTGAAAAAATAATTTCGTATATTGATATATTTTATTAGATTAGATAGACACTGTCGCTCTTTATGCGATTTACATGCTATAATTTTAAAACATAGATTTTTTTTAACTGAGTTAATTTAGAATATTTTTCCATAATTAACTTTAAATT